CAGATAGCTCTCTGTAAATATTATAGGTATAACTATCAAAGTTGTCAATCAACAATGTCCTAACGAAATCCGTTTTCCGGCAAGGCTCCTTCACCCTTTTCTTTCCCATGATCGACCCTTCTAACTTCCAAGTGTCCGGTCATTAATAACTGACTAGATATCATATCACCACCTTTCTATCAGTACAGCGGCAAGTTTTTTGAATGGTTAATCGATTCAAACAAACGCGGAGCCCTTGCTTGCTGCTGAGCTAGTTAAATGGTTCATAAATACTGAATAAGCGAACAGATCCTGCAAACTATAAAGAGCTAAAAATCTACACAAGAAAAAGGAGTGAACCACCATTGAACTTTTGCTTTTCAGTTTAATCTTAATAGAAAACAAAAATAAAGAAGTTTAAGATCTTATTATGTTTCGAGCTTATCATTGCAGTATTTATAGTTAAATGAAAAAAATCAATAATTTTCCACGCGCATCATTCTTCCAAGTGAAGACACGAGCACGTGACTGGTCTCCTGCATCTCGAGTCCAGAAGCTCAAAATCGTGCAATCCCACGGCAACCTTGACGAATCCCAAATTTATGTAGGATCAAGATCAATTTTAGGATCTGGGATTGTGAATTTGTGATTCTAACAATTAGATCCACCTGGGCATATTTTTATATTTCTGTATTTACCGAAAATAAAACCACTTTTTTTTTAAAAAAATAATCAATAAAAATTTAAGTTTTAATATTTATTAAAATATTTAAAAGCTCTTCTTCTTCATTTTTTTTTTTTAACGCGTGACATCTTGCTTATCAGGCACAAGTAAGATTGCGATTGGCAATGAATGGATTCGGCAAAAGACAGCTCAACAAAAAAAGCATGCGCCCAGAATGACCTTTTAAGGCCGAGGTGAGCATTCAACAGAAGCTTTGGCCCAAAATGTCATCGGCCTGTCTTGTCTTGGACCAGAGCCTGAAATGCCTGGCTCCATTTGTGAAGCACAAATCGAAACACGTATTGGCCCAAACCAGACTGCTCCCGGTTTTTTTTTCAACACGCTTACTATAGCGTGGTTCAAGAAAACAGAAGGTGCATCCCTTAGTATTTTCATTTTATACGGACCTAGGAGTGACTATGGGAAGTGTTTAGGAGTTTGATAGTAGTTATGTTTTCAAGTGTTTTTTATTTGAAAATATATTAAAATAATATTTTTATATTTTTTAAAAATAATTTAAATTTTTGTAAAACACAAAACCAAATTGATCAACCATAAAATATAGGATTTATCAGAAATAGTCTTTCTTCCACATTTCTAGTCCAGTTTACGGTTCAGGTTACAAGCCTGGCCTAGAAAACAATGCATGCCCAGTCGGCACGTGACTATGACAGCCCAGAGAATACTCTGTTACATTTCAGATTTCGAAGTTCAAGCTACTTCTAGAACCAGAAGCCCTGTGACTATGTCTCCACTATATAGTTTACAGACAGACCTAACTAGTCACTTCTTTTCAGAGTGCGTTCTCTGGACACAATTACGACTACGTGTAATAGGGTGTGGAGATCACAATTACGACTACGTGTAATAGGGTGTCGAGATTTTTAAAAATATATTTTTATATTTAAAAATAAATTAAAAAATATTTTTTAAAAAATTAATTTAAAATAAAAATAAATAATTCTTTTTAAAATACAATTATACTATCACTCAAACACTCCTCGTTGATAGTTTGCTAGATTTCTCATTAACTGATTACAGGGAAGCTTTTAAAATTCTAGCAACAGGTAGAACAAAATTTTTAATATAAGAAAATTCAAATATTATTGGAGTATTTTTTTAATAAGAAAAATAATATTGAACTTAAAATATAATGTATTCTAGATGATATTTTATATATTGATATGGTTATAAATTGGATAATATTTTGTTTTCAAATATTAAAAAGACAACATGGTCAATAGATTTTAATTAACCTGTTAAATTTACAACTTAAATTATAAGAGCTTAATAATTTTATAAAAAAATCAACATAAATTACAAAAGTCAATTTTAAATCATCCCAATATTAAATAAAAATAAATAAAAAAATATATTAAATTAAAATAGAATAAAAAAAATATATAAGTCAGCTCAAGTTAAATTGCAAACTTGCGATCTAGATCATAGAATCAGGATAACCTCGTGAAAAAAAAATATAAAACTCAATTTTCATTCAATTTAATGTTGAAAAATAAAATAAAAAAATAAAAAATAACTCAAGTCAACTTGGATTAATTGTTAAATCGTAACTCGGTTCATGAGACTGTAACAAAAAGATTATGAGCCCCATCTTTATTATATTCAATTTTAAATGTTAAAATTGAAAAATAAAAAATAAATCAACAAGATTATGTTAAAAAAATCATGAAATCTAATTTTTAAATAACTTAATATTAAAAAAATTAAAAAAAAAACTTGATAAAAAAAGATTAAGTTACTAAAAAGTGAAATTAAAAAAAAATATTTAAGTAAAAAAAACATAAAAAAAATAATCTGAATAAACCTATGTTAATGTACCATACCTAGAATTTAGGTTATGTTATTAATAACTCTATGAAAAAAAATTAACAAAAAAAAACAGAAAGTCCAATTAACAAAATCAACTAGAAAAAAATAAATAAAATTAACTTAGATTAACATGTTAAACTCACAACTTGAATAATAAAATTATAATAAATTTATCAAAAATAAAATCACATTTTCTTTTAGTAAATTAGCCTGGTTTGTTATTTTCTCTGGAGTTACTGTTTGGATGAGGATTCCTAGGTTTTTGTACAAAAATCAGATCCAATTCAAAAAAAATTTCCCCCCATGCGTGTCTACTTTTAAGAATCTAGCTTTTCAATAGGATCTTGAAAGCATTATTTACGTCAAAAGTAAGAAATTTATAAAAATTTTACTTTATACAATCTGATTTGAGATTTAAATTCCAACTGTGACATCCCAGCCATCAAGCCCTACCACATCAAGCTGCCATGGATATGGCTAGTTGAATGGCTGTGTCCACCACACAGTGTCTGCATATGCATCGAATAGAATCGAAATAGGGATGTCCAAGTATAGGTAGCTTTTACTAGAGTGCATGAGCAGCAACGTCGCCAATCTTCCTCCGTCTCCAAGTTCTTATCGCCACCGGACCACAACAACCATACACATGTATCATATGCTGTCATGGTTAAGCCTAAGGCCCAACGTGATGTTACAAAAATCAAAACATGGTGCTGGTCGAGCTAGTGCAAGACATGGTGTGAGCGTTTGGGTTCTTTTCTTAACGACTTAGCTAGCAACTCGTGATTTGATTCGTTAAAAAAAACTCATTTCACACAAAATAAAGTTTGGTATTGATTCATGAAACTCACGAGACTCACGAGTAGATTTCCAGGCAGCCATGGCCTAACTCAGCAAATTAAAAAGCTCCAGGTCTTTGATTAGAATCTTAGAAGGACCGTAAACTTAAAGATAGTAACAGGACTCCTCGTTCTCTAGTAAAAAATCTATCATGACCTTCACCTAAACCCGAAAGGAAAGAAAGAAAAGAAAAAACAGAGAGGTCAGATGTCAGGGCAGCAGTATCTGTGAGTGACGACGCCCCGTTCGTTCAAAGGACCGAAGCAGCATTGGAGCGGGAAATCCTCTTCGGACAAGAATGGAAGGACGCGACGAGCTCATGTTTCTTGACTCGGTCATGGTTGTCTAAAATCCAATACTGTAGAACTTCTTTGGACCTTGACCGATCACTATACACCCTTTGAACGGCCGTTGCCGATTAATTAAGGTAGAATATCTGATCTAAACTACTTAAAATCAAAGCCCTTGGTCAGAGATTTTAGCTCACACAGACTTGGTCGCTTTTATTTTCCTGGTTTCCTTGTTCAAATGTAGCCAAAAAAGAAAAATAAGAATGACATCAGAGCAATAATGCAGCAGCGACAGATGCATCCTCTGTCATCAACGTTTCATCTCATGGGAGTTGAAGTCGTCTGGGGCTGTTCAACTAATAAACCATGAGAGTTGGATAGACTTCTACGGTTCAAGATCGGTGAAGGATATATATATCTTCCTGAATATTACCGTCGTCCACGAATATCCATAAATGGGTGCAATTTATATAATCAAATAACAAATTGACTTTGCTCAAAATGCTGCGAGCAATCCAATTGGTTCTAATATGACTTCACATAAGGAGGATATCATTAGGTAAATTTGTAATTTAATTGAAAAATCATAAAAGAGGTATAAATATTTTTATTGGAGAAGTGAAGATGAAAATATAAAAATAAATATATTTCAAAGTAAAATCTTATCATTTCAGAACAAAACAATATAAAGATATATTGTATTTATTTAAATTAAAAAATAATATCAATTATGTATTAATATCTCATTCAATAACCTGTTAATCAATCAATCAGAAATTCAGATTCAAATTTTATTTGACATAACTGAGCAGAAAACAATGGATCCACGGTGAAAGCTTCAAATCCTGATAGTCCCTGTTTAAAATTAGTAAACAAACTTCACCGAAGAATTTCCATAATCTTGTCTTCGCATTTAACTTGAGATGTTTGAGTCAAAGCTTCGAGTTTTTGACATGGAAATTCGTGTTGCCGAGGCAATCGCTTATTTCTCTCTTTTGAGAATATATTTTGATTTTAATTTAAAGAAGTCAGAAGACCAAATGCATGTCAAACTAAACAGGCATCTCCAACTCACAACGCTGTCGGGCGCCGCCCTCCAGTCCATGGAACTGGATCCAGCAATGGCGTCAAGTGATGTGAAAAATTGACAACTGATCTGAAACAATTATTTTTTTTAAAAGACAGTGCATTATTAGTAATAACACCTATCTGCGTGGATTAACGTAACTTGAGGCCTTTATTTTGTTCAGGGAGGGCTCCATTGTTTAATGGTTCCACTCTACCTAAAGAAATAAATATTGTTGAATTATCCAAAGATTCCCACGTATATAAAACCCTTTCCTCCCTTGCTAATAAGTCTCCAGCACTGACACATGAACCTTCCACCATTATACATCTCCTCCTCCTCCTCCTACTCTCTCCTTTCCTCCATTCGTATGTGGATTTCTTAGGGTTCAGCTTCCATTGCTATTTATCAACTAGACATATAGAATGTATATGTGTCAAGTTCGGGAAGGATGAAAAACAGCAGTTCCAAGCATCGAAGCAGAAGCACGTTCAGAAACATGATGAGGTTCTCATTCTCTTGCTCTAAATGCTTCTCTTCTTCGTCTGACATCCCCACGGATAATGCACTAATGCAAGGTATTAACTCTTCATTTTGGAATCTTAGCGACTTCTTTTACTCATTTTTTTCTTCTGATGCATGCTACAAGATTTTTAAAGCAGCGTTGCATTGAAGTATCTACAGATAAGTCTATTTAATACCTAATTAATAAAAGAAAGCTTGTCCTAGAGTATGCATCCCTGCATAGCTTGTCCTAGTGTTTGCATCCCTGCAACTATATAAACACGAAGGCAAGTTACATTTGGGGTGCTTGGCGGGGCTTAGACCTGTTTGTTTACAAGTACAAGCCGTGCTTCTTAAAAAAATATATATATATATATATATATGTATGTATTGATTTTATATTGATATCAAAATTAATTTTTAGAAAATAAAAAAATATATTATTTTAATATTTTTTAAATAAAAAATATTTTAAAAAATAAATACATCTTGCCTATGTAACTGACGGTATTAATTCTCTTATCTTTTCTCGTAGCATTGCTCCTATAACACCAGGCCTTGCTATTGCTACCGTAGTCTATTTTACTGAAGCAAATTGACCATGACAGTGTAAAGTTGATGATTAAGAGTATGTTTTTGGTTTTTTAAAATATTTTAAAATAATATTTCTTTTATTTTTTAAAATTTATTTTAATATTAAAATAATTTTAAAATATTAAAAAAATAATTTAAAGTAAAAGAAATTTACAAAAACACTTTTACATAAAAATAAACGTGCTTAGTGGCCGTGTAGGTTCATGAAATTCAGTAGCTGTGTACTTGTGTCACGATAAAACCATTGTTCAAAAAAGAGTCCTGGTTGACTATTGACTATTTGATGTTTTTTTTTTTTTTTTTTAAAAAAAAAACTGACTGCTGATGATGAGAATTTTTCATCTCCGTACTTTTCGAATTTGGCTAGTTTATTTATAATAATGGCTTGTTTAGAGGATTGATAATATTGTTTTTTAAAGTTTTTTATTTAAAAATATATTAAAATATTTTTATTTTATTTTATTTTATTTTGATATTAATATATTAAAATCATCTAAAACACACAAAAAAAATTAAAAAATCAAAATTTATTAAAACTCAAATGCAAATACAGCCTTAAACATAGCTATAACACTTTATTAGAAGTCAATTTCTCCACTTTCTATATGAATTTGATGAAGTTTTAAAAAATGATTTCGCATGAAAGAAAAAAGAATTAGCCAAAAGAGTTTTCATCTAAGCCTTCCATCCTTTTATTTTTAAGTTGTCGTTACACGTTAACGCAACCTCGTGGCTCATGTCACGTGTGATAAAATTAATCTTTCTTAGTATTACGAGTATTTTATTAATTCTTGCATCCTTCTCTCATGATCTAATCAATGAACTATTTATTACTCGTGGTAATTAATTACAGGTTTGCAAGTTCTTCAAAATGCGCATGCTTTCTCGTTTAATGAGTTGAAAGTCGCCACCAATGGATTCCGTTCATCAAATAAAATTGGGGAAGGCGGATTTGGCTCTGTATATGAGGTAAATATATAGTCCAATCATATTTACTCTGATTTAAAACACAATTAGTGAGAATGCTTGCTCGTACGTAGTTCGTCGTTTGCCTTAGATTTTCAAGAAATTCAATCTGAAAACTAAAAGAAATGTGAGTTTTTTTTATTAATTGGCTGAATTTCTTTCGATTTTAATTTCTTTTTAATCGGAAATAACGTTAAATAATATATATATATAAATATAAACTTAAGTAATTTCATTTGTTAGATTTTAATATTTTAGTACTCAATATTATATTGTTGAAGAAATATGTCCAGTGAAAGGAAAGAATCATATCCTAAATGATTTTTTAAAGGCTGTGTTCATAAACAAAAACAAAAAAATTAATTATCTCTTTTCAAGATAAAAGGTGGTTTACTAACAAAGAAAATAAAATTAAGAAACAACTGGGTTCTTATGCTAGGCACACATGCCTGGGTCTGGTAGCCAACTCCTTTTCCTTCTTAATACAGGGACCATTTTGTAGATTATAAAAATGTGGAGACCATATTGTAAAGCATAAGTGTAAGTTACATAGAAATGCCCTGAAACCGTTGGAAAAACGACATCATTTTGCCCTAGAAAGTAGCCAAAAAAACTTTCTCATCCCTCCCCTCCTCTGACCTCCCCGCATAGAGGAACTACTCTGTAAGTTATAAAACATCAGGAACCATACTGTAAATCAGGGAGAATCTACAAAAAATTACTCAATTTTTTTGTAAAACGATCTTGTTTTGCACTCCAAAAAAGTAAAGAGGCGTATTTTGCACACCAAAGCAGCTTCACTTTTCCATTAAAGAATCTTCTTAATCTAGTAAGATTGTTTTGTTGATGATATGTTATGTTGTTGGGATTTAAAGGGAATCCTGCAAGATGGGAGAATGGTTGCCATCAAAATGCTTTCTGCTGGATCAAAACAAGGAGACAGGGAGTTCATCTCTGAGATAGCTTCAGTGTCCAATATTAACCATGAAAATCTTGTTAAGTTACACGGTGGATGCATTGATGGTCCTTATAAGATTCTCGTTTATGAGTACATGGAAAACGGCAGTCTTGCTCAAACTTTGCTTGGTAAATCTTCTGATTAATTCTTATATTGATTCCATCCAATACCAATTTCGACAGTGACCAATTCATTTGTTGTGATTCTGCTTAAATTCAAGGTTCTGAGGAAAAAAGAGCTAAATTCAGGTGGGAAACAAGGAGAGAGATTTCGTTAGGCATTGCTCAAGGTCTTGCATATATTCACGAAGAGATCAAGCCCCGTATTGTGCATCGAGATATAAAAGCAAGCAATATACTCTTGGATCAGAACTTGTGTCCGAAAGTTTCAGATTTTGGTCTCTCTAAACTATTTCCTGAAGATTTTACTCATGTCAGTACACGAGTGGCTGGCACATTGTAAGTGCATTTTTCACCTTTTCCTCTTATCAAAAATCCTGCTGGGTTTATTGTTTGAAAGATCGTGACACGAACTTGGTTCATGTATATACGTCGAAGCCATCTGACTATTTCTGTTCATGTAAATCAAGATTTTCTGATTGGTCGTTGTAATAAAATCGTAGTCACTGTCTATTTTGTTGTAAAGGGGATATCTTGCACCGGAATATGCCGTTAGTGGCCGTCTGACCCGGAAAACAGACGTGTACAGTTTTGGAGTGCTGCTTCTTGAAATAATCTGCGGGCGAAAAGCTGTTGATTTCGATCCAGAACTTGGAGAACACTACCTGGTGGAGAAGGTACTACTGTTTTTTACAAGCTGCAAACAGCAGTCCTTGTCTTATAAAATAGAATACGCTCTATATATCATTGGGCAACGCCTAGTAATTTATTTATTTTTAATGAAAATCTAACAAAAATCATGAGGGCGAAAGATTCAAAAGCTCAAATCATATAGATTTACTTGATAATATGTAACTGTAATAACAGATCTTTACATTGATATAATTATTCAGTGATCACTTGAAACTAATTGCAATTTCAACTTTTTAATAAAAAATTCATGAATTTACTAAATGTTTTCTCAATCAAGCAATAAAACAGATCACATCTCTATAAATTGAATACTTATATTAAGCAAGAAAATGAAGAAACAAGAGGAAATCTATATTTCTCTACATAGATTATTCCATCTTGTAGTTTATAAAGAGGGATTTAATTGTTTTATATTGAAAAATGAGAATTCACACGAGTTTCAAATTACTAATTAATAATTCTATTGATTGAAATTGAAGTATGCGTGTTTGGTGACGTGTTGTTACATATTATTCAATTGAAAATATATTAAAATAATATTTTTTATTTTAATACCAACCCATCAAAATTATAAATCTTACACGGGCGATCTAATCAGAATTTTCCCTCCAAGTTGAGGACTTTTAAAAGGTAAACCTAATCTAATAAATGCAAGCGAGTTAATGGTATAGTTGTAATACGAGCAAACTACACGGGCACCTGTTAATCAATCATTTGTTTGCTTCACCGTTTGCTGGCTACCCGCACTGTTTTTTCTCCCCTTCCCACCGCTTCCCCCGCCACTCGGCCCGGTTTCTCCACCATAGCCAACACTCAATAACCTTTTTTATTCGGCGGGATTTCCCCAACATAAAAAAAAAAGATACCAGATATTAACTTCATTTTAATTATATTATTCCCACTAATCAATGTATTTTGTTCTGGCGGTGAGAATATGTTGTTAATCTTGATAAATCTTCCATTGATATTTAACGAGTTGTTTTTTATTCCATGGTTTTATGATATTTTAATCGGAGTTTGGCTGGAAGAGAAGACGGGCAAAGAAGAAGATGGTAGACGGCGTTGATCAATTAATATGTGCCCATGTATTTTGTATATATCACAATCATACCATTTATTCTCTTGTATTTGACTATCTGTTGCTTTGGAGCGAAGATAAAGAAAGTCAGCAGTGCTCGTTGGAATATTTGCGCACAATTTTTAATTAATTACCATTATTGCTTGAAATCAAAAGGGCCATTGTGGATTTTATTTTCTTCCAAACTCCAAGAGTTAATAAATGATTGTGGTTACAATCCCACCAACCACTTTGATGTGCTGGGCCTGGCTGTTCTTTATTTTCATTACATGGTCAAAAGGGGCCTGGCTGTTTAAGTTAATTAAGGGAAACATGCTAGATTAGCCATTGAACGTGCTCAGTTTGCTCTGATGGCCTGTTCGATTTGACACTGAAATCATGTTTTGGACAATGATTCATGCAGGCATGGCAAATGTACAAGACCGACAACCTTCTAAAACTAGTGGATCCGATGCTAAATGCCGACTTCTTAGAAACAGAAGCTGTTGGATTTGTAAAGATTGCCTTGCTCTGTGTACAAGAGAAATGTGGGCTTCGACCAAGTATGTCAATGGCAATCAAGATGATGAGAGGTGAAATCGACGTCAACAACATGCAAATAACTCAACCAGGATTCATCATCGACATCATGGACGTGAAAATAGGCCGTAAATCACAGAGCTCAGTGCAAAGCATCACAAATAGGTGCCGACCTCGGCTACACCCTTTGTGAATAGATGCACTTTGTTTCGTGTGGGAGCACGGTGCTTCCGTGGCTGTTTTTTTTTTTTTTTTTAAGGAGGCTGTAGGAAAAGAAAATATCTTGTACTTAGAGACAACCTTGGGCCTTGAAAACCATTGCTTGTAAATTGGACAGAAACAACGAATCAAGGAGGAAAGAGCTTTCCAAAAGGTGTTGTTTGTGAACTGGATCGAATCCAATCTCTTGACGATGTTGTTTCTTTTTGATCTTTTGATCTTTTGGGCCCCTCTTGTCATCAAAAACCCCCATGAAAAAAGCCTTTTATCCTGCACTGACCTGATGACTTTTTCTAAATATTTATATTTTTAATGTCTAAGAAAAGGTGAAAGGTAGCCTTGATCAACTTGCCTTTTCTTTTCTTTCTTTGTTTGTTTGTTTTTTTTCTAATTAACTTTATAAGTCTATCAATATTTAAGAATCAAGGAGGATTATATTAACACAAACCCTTGTTCCAAAAACGCACCTTTGTGGGATGCCGGCAAGTTATTGTGGCTGGCAAAATCCCTTTTTAAAATATATTATATTTTAAATCATTTTAAAAAACAAAACAATTGGTTTACTGCTAAGAGCCGATTAATCGATTAATTTGGTAAAATTATTTTTTTAATCAAATTAATTTTTTTTTGTTTGGTTTAATTTATTATTTTTCTAGGATTTAAAACCTATAAATAAAAAAGTTGTATAACATAGAAAAATACCTAATAAAACATACTTTATTCTCAAGATTTTTATTGTTTTTTAATTTTGTAATTCAAAATAATTAAGCTAAGGCATTAATTTTCTTCCAACATCCTCGTGATTAGTTTTCCTTTCCTGTTGCTTTTAATGAATCTTAAATCTGGTCATGAGATTGGATGTTTTTAGTTCTTCAAATAATTATATATTTAAATGATATAAAATCTCTGGTTTGATTCTTATTAAGTTCAGTATCGTTAATTTACGAGGCTCTTTGTTTTTAACTGAGTGTTGAACAGAGTTTCGTAATAAGATTTACGATGCATCAGAAAGCTGATCCACTGTTTTAAGGAGGTTTCAAATGGAGCAGTCCTTGGATTCGTTGCTGGAAAAAGATCTTGGTACTATCAATTTTGTTTCTTTCATAGAACGAAGTCCTGTGAAACGACTCGTTTCCTTTTCAACGATGATATAAGATTCCTAAGCTCGAGATGCATAGAAATTTTAACATTAAGAAAAAAAGAGAGAGGATAGCTTATGAATTTATTTGGAAGCTCTTAATTATGCCTATTGTTGTGAGATTCCGGATGATATATTGGTATGATATTTAATATAATTTATTAAATTATATATATTTACAAGAAAAGTTATTATTATCATACAAAGAAAGAATAAGATTTTACAATAATAAAAAAAAAATCATTTACTTTACTTTATTTTTATTATTTTTTTTAGAACAGTGCTATAATGACGGTAACTACTTATTGCTCTTGACAATTTATTTTCTTTTATAATTTTCATATCTTTAACTTTATATTCTTTTTCTCTTTGCTCTCTAAATTAATGTATCTATTTGATAGTAAAACAAGAGGTTATAAATTATGGTATAGATGGTGGTATTACATGAGTTATCATTTTATTAATGGTTGGTATATTTATCATTGTAATTTTTTAATAATAACAATTTTTTATTTTAGAGTAGGATGTAAATTTTTACATTAAATAATAACATACCAACATCTATGTCATGTTTTTAATATAATAAAATTATTATTTTTCGTAAAAAAGAAATAATATTCAATAACTTCTAACGCTTGCAGGGATGAAAGCTCAATTATTGCCTACCTTTTATGCTACTATGGTGCATAATTGATGAACTCAACTCCATCGGACCTGTCCGGTCCAAACCATTAGCCAAATGCTTATCAGTTCAATTGTCGGATTGATTGTTGAATCGAAAGGTGATGGACGATATAAAATAATCAGTGCAACGAATTTTAAAAAATCACCAGATTTTAAAATTAATAAAAAAATCCTGAAAATTCACGAGAAGAAAAGCCAATATTGTCTCGGAATCAAGAACAACCACAATCATGTATAGGCTTCTTAAGAGCCAACGAGAACAAATATAGAAAAAGAAAAAAACAAAGAAGGAGATGATGAAGAAACACATCTTTAATTTTTATTTTCTTTTCCCTTTGGCTAAGATTTACGCACACGATGAAGTCCGAAATACGTAATATATAAAGAATCTTATGCTTGTACTGCACATTTCTAAACGTTATCGTCACCGCAGTTTGATCCACAGAAGCATCTCACACAACTTATTCTCTCCATCAACATCATCTTCTGCAACTGATCAAAGCAGCTGATGCAAATAAATCCATTAATTTAGCCCGGAATTAATTTTTACCCTTTCCCTGTCTCTGAACTGGCTGAAGCCTGCACTCACATGATTCTTGCTGGATATGCGAGAAATCTAAGAACTCGTAGTACAAGGTCCTCTCCAATCCCAGATTCTTTCAATTTGAAATGCAAATAGCTAGCAAAACCAGGCTTGAGAAAGCTACGAGTATATAGTTAGACCGAACTTGAACCCCTACCATAAAATATACATGTAGAATCAACTCCATAATTAGTTGAATCTTCATTTATCTTACTCTTTAAAGAAATTATGGTAATAATGAACATCTTCTTTAGGTCCAAATCCTTGAAGAATTAATTATACATGACACCGAGGAATTTGAGAGAAGTCCGTGGTAAAACCCAACATGCTTTTGATATCAGTTGAAATATTGGGGTTTTACCATGTTCGTGAAAGAACACGGGGGAAAAGCATATTTTTAGTTAAACGTAGGAAGAAGAGAAAAGTGTATGTAGACGAACGAAATCATGCAGGTCACCCGAATGATATTTTATTAAAAAATAATAGAAATTATATTTTATATTTTTATTAGATTGAATTAGTTTTAGAATATAGTATTAAAATCTTGATAACTAAAAGATTGTAAATTTAAATCTCATTATATATTATTATTTATTTGATAAAAAATAAATATAAAATAATATAATTCTGTTTAAATTTTAAATTTTAAAAAATTTTATTAAAATTTTTTTATTAAAAATTATATAAATCATATTTTACAAATAATGTTGCTTTAACACTTAATATTTAGTCTACTCTCTTTGAGAAAACAGAGGAAAATTATGTTGTAATAATAAAGTTTGAGATATTATTTGAAAATATTTTTTATTTTATATTATATTTAAAATTATTTTTTATTTTTCATTGAAAAAAATATTTTTTATGTAAATATAGAACATATATATATATATATTAATAGATTTCTAGTTTTATATTAAAAAATAAATATTTTTTTCTGGTATTTATATATTAAAAATAACACAAAAAAATAATGGTAATTAAACTAACACATATAAAGTTTAGCCGAGTAAAATAAAAATCTCTAATTGACCCACTGCGCACATTATAATCCTGAACAACCTGTTGAATTTGGGAGGATTTTCTTGTTTGAAGGAAATATCCTTAAAGAGAATATTTGTATAGGCGTCAGGCTTAATGTTCGTTGTTTCCTGCACACGCCTCGGCTCTGTTCTTCATAATCTTACAGCACAATCTTCTTCTTTTTTCACCGTTTATCCCCTAATCAATGGAGGTAGAATGGTTTCTGTAGATCATTTGGCTCCCTTGTTTTCTCCTCTTTCTTACCCAAAAAAAGAAAAGAATAAACCATGAAAAAGAAATGGAAAATTAAAAAATCCCATTTCAACAGTAGATCTCCAGTGTGGGCCCTCAAATTGCCTGACAGTGTCCTTTTGACCAGCTTTGACCGTATAATATATACTCTAGTGGCCAATGAAAAAGAGAGACACAGAGAAAGCGGGGTCCATTTCTTTTTGTATGAGATTCCCAAGTAGCTGTAATCATAATCCTGCTGCTGCCCACCCTCTACTTTACTTTCCCTATAATCCACACTTCTTTTTCTTTCTTGAATCTCTGGCCCGACGTCCGTGTGTGACCAGCATGATTATGCCTGTACTTTTTTATGCAGATTAACCTAAGCATCGAAAGCATGCTGTGTTCATTTTACCTGGGCTTGCAGGTGATAATGATATCACTACTGCACAAATAGTATAAATTTTTTTGAGTAAAACAAGGACGACGACTACAACAATAATTTGTGTGCTGCTATTCATCTTTAATCCATTAATTAGCCTTTTGCTTTTTATTTATTAAAGCAGGAGAGCTAACTATAAGAAGTGTGGTTTTCTTGTGCTTTCATGACACTGAAACCTAAAGCTGGACACTACTCCACTAGTTATCCTCCAGAGCAAAAACGCCACTGAAAAAATGGGCTGCGCAAGCTGTTTTATAGTTAATTGAATGCATGATTGTATCCACCAACAACAACTTAAAAAACACTTTTCCACTTTAGGTTCTTTAGACCTGTTCCACTATATGGACGGAAGGTGTGGTTAATTTTCAAGTTCCTTTCACCTTAACACTTTGCCTAGCTAGCTAGCTACATGCCAGAAGGAGAAGTTTCACACTTGGTAGCCATTTCAGTAGTAGACTTTTAGCATTGACTTAAAGTTTTAGTTGGTGTTTTGTTAAGTACAAGACATACCTTCTTTTTCACAAGATTTAACCAAAACTGCTCCAACAGCATGGTATCCATTGCCTTGGATCAATAAAAAGAAGAACAACACTAATAAGCCTACGGCCAAAGAAAAAGCAAAACGTAGACCTAGATGAAGCTGTGTTAATGGTAGTTAATCAAGCTTGAAAGGGAAGTCAAAGTTACTCAGAGTAGATTAACATCCAAAACCAAACATGGAAAGCGCAACCAGAAAATTAATTTCAAAGTATATTCCATCGATGTAAACATGCTAATTATTGCTGTATAAATATCAATAACAGTTTTACTAATTAAAACGTATTGTGAAAAATATCTCGTCGGTTATATTATATTTATTGGTAATTTCATGGGTGATTTTTATAGCAAACAATACAATGATGAATTATTGTCTACGATCCTTAAAAAACAGGGTCGATCAATATTTGTCGTCAAATTCGTTGAATATTAGCGATGGAATTCTGGCAAATACTTCTGTTGACAATATGTCTGTCTCACCATTGATTTTTCTGATAGATCTCTAACGACATATTATGTTGATAATTCCATCGGTGTGGTAATTCTGATGGAAATTTCTGCTGGTAATATTTCTGTCTCACCGATGTTCTAACAGATCACTTATAATATATTATGATAGTAGAATTAACACAATTAATTAATAATTCCTTGAAATTCTCCGAAAATATTTATCATTTACTGATGAAAATTTCATCTGTGTTTAAACAAATATTTCACAATGAAATTAGACAACAACGAACAAATTTTATATAAAACAAATCAATTATTCCATATTTATCTATACCACCGAGCACCAACTTGGAGTCTTGGACACTAGGTATAGCACACATGACCAGGGTTTCCAGTGTTGTTTCCCATGAGCAACGAACTGCCATCAAGATCAACTGTCTTTCTATCCCGTTTTGTTATTGGTCAATGCTCTAGGACATGATACCTTGACGTTAATTAGGTCATATGACATGTACCTGAGACAAGCATGTGTTACAAGAAGATAAGGTGGATGATATGCAACTCCTATATATGTTGTCAGGAACAAAAAATTATAATTCATTCACTGAAATATTTTGATCAGAGCTTAAAATAGATTTATAATCAGATCTCTCGATACAGATGCTGCACCTATTCATGTTAAATCACTATCAAGGAAACATACATGAGACTATTTGTAATGAAAAAATTATGCTGAAAAGTAAATATTATTCTCCTGCAAAAGCTTTTAGATAAACATCACCTCATGAAAACCCTAAAAACTATACAAGAGAAGAGGATAAGCAAATACCTTTGCATCAGAGAGAACCTGATTCTATTGAAAATTACAATGCTGCCCTTGCAGGCTTTTAAGCTTCAAATTTGGACAGAGTGATAGTATAAATTTTCCTTCTGCGGGCAAAATTAAACCATGTATAATATATATGCGAATATGCATGGCTCCTCATACGCCATCCACGGAGGCCATCGAAGATCCGTTGGGCTCTGCAAATGGCATACAGGGAGCCAGGCACATATAATATATATGGATGCATGATGGTGAAAACATGTATATGTGTGTGCATTATGGTTTATACTTATAGACTATAGCGCATTTCTAAGCATGTATGCGGGTGTATAAGAGCTTACCCATAATTGCATAGGATGCACTCTACTTAGAATGAATAAATGCATGAACTACAAGTGCATGCATATAGAAGATGATCTATTCTCTACCATAGGCTGTCTTCCCCGTGAACACCATACCTAAAGAAGTTGACGAGAAAATGTATTTAGTGAAGCATCAAAATTAGGGTAGAGGGAGGGAGGGAGAAGGAGGTCGATAGAGGGAGGGAGAGTGGTATTTAAGGAGGAGAGAACAGAGAGATTGATAGGAAATAGAAACTGGGTCATAATCAAATAAGGGTTTCAATGCCCCACAAAAATTTAGCCCTTTTGAATTGGCATAACTCAAGGAAACCATCTGCAAACTAGCTAGACTTGAGAAAGAAAGGGCCGGTGTGTAGAAGGTAATTATGCGGAAGGGTTTATGTGTGGTTGAATTGAGAGGGAAAGAAGGAGAGAGGTGGGGTTGTAGTTGCACCCCCAGCTTGCAAATAAATATAGACAGGCACCATCATATGAGAGAGAGATATTCAGACAGAAAGAGAACGAGAAGTGGAAATGGTGTGGTTGGGTTACTAACCACGCAGTTTCCTAAGCTAACCCTTATGGTGGTTTGAAATCTCCTTTTTCTGAGTCGTAAAGCAAAGGTTGCTTTTCTTCTCAGAAGCTCATTTTGTCTGGGAGTGCTTGGAAACGCATGGATTCTCTCAATCTCTCTACTTTCTTTACCTTTATTTAAATAAAGTGCTCAAAAAAGAAGAAAGAAATACCACGTAATTTACCCTATCTACGTACCTGTCTATCGATCTTTCATATCCTTTCTTTATCTCCATCACTTCCTTCTTTATATCTTTTCCATTTCCTTTTATACCATCATTATAATTACCACTCCCACTATTTGGTAATATTACTACTTTGTTAAGTAAGCAACTGAGATTCTCTGTGCTAAACCCTTTATGATCACATCCACCATCGATCCCACTTAAATTCCCTCTCACGGGCATGTCTTAATGCGATCGTGTATATATGTACATGTTTGTCTTTATATACAAATTAGATATTAATTATATTCTCTATCAGATCATTTAATCAAGTATATGCATGTTAAACGGTCATTTCGCTACTTACCTAACCTGTTTTTTATCAGCAAGACTAGTGTTTTCTTTTGAAGAATACTATGAAGGACCTGTCCATGTCCAAGTTCTCTCTTAATTCTGATGGAAATCTGTTGTTTCCTTAGGTTACAGTCCATTATGGCATGAGTGATTATTAACTCTATACGGTCAATTGCTAGACCCCTTTGTTCTTCACCGCGTGCCTAAGCCCATAATATTTTCAAACGATGCAAGTAACCTCTGTGATGGTTCCTCGAATAGTCAATATCTTTGTGAGAATCTTTTTCTGTCAATATAAGGCCACTTATACATTTTTAGGGTTGACATAAAAACAGCAGGTGTCAGGTTTGCTTGTACGTCCATTCTCAGCCTTTCGTGATCTGCATGAATAATTGTTGATTTATTTCTGTACTGTGAATAAAAATGTTAACTGTCTCAGTTGTTTTCTTATGGTAAGTGTCCGGCAAAGTAAGATTGTGAAGATGAAATGATTCAATCAGTCAAATAGAATTATTTTTTTTGTTCTTATTAATCACCGTTTCCTCTCCATGTGTCTTAATTATTGATGTAGCAGTTTTTAAGTAGTCACATGAAAATCTTTCACAATTTGATAAAGATTTGTCATAAAAATTGATGCGGATACCTTTGGGATACCTTGGCAGAACAACAGAACAGGGCTGTTTCTAGGAGAGAACATGGTCGCATAAGATGAACACAGTGAATAAAAGAACACAACTTTCAAACCAGTTGGACTATACTTTTGTTTTTTTAAAAAAAGTTCTTGAGATCCAATTTTATAAAAGGACAGACCGGCTTCATTGGCACCATCGAAATAACCCTTAATTAAATTAGATCTCGAAGAACTTATTTGAATCAATTTTCTTAGTTTTCCTTGATTTTTTGTATTTCTAGTTTAATTTTGGATTTTCTATTATCTTCAGTTTTGTTTAGAGATTCTGATTCTATTCCCCAGAGATTGATTTTTAATCTATTAATTTAAACAGTTATAAACCTTTTAATTTAAAATAATTTTCACTGATATATTAGCTATAAATTAAAATCTTTATATTCTAACCCTATTTTCGACAGAGCTCTGTTCTTTCTATCCTTGTTTCTACCCTTATTTTTGTGCTTCCACTTACATCAATTACTCATCTGATTTTTTTTTTCATTTTCTTTTACCAATAGGTCTTGAGCTATAAAATATGTAACTCCACCTTCAAATTCCCACAATACCTTTTTTGTTTTACTTCCAACGTAAGAAATTCGCTTATTCTTTTCTTTTAATTATTAGATTATCCGATTTGTCTGTCCTGCAAAAGAATACGGAGGATACACGATTGTGGGCACAGTCCGCCCGGGAGCCATTCCAGTGCCTCCAAATAGTATTAGTGGAGACTTTCAGGGGCGGTTTGAATAATTATCATATTAACCCAACCCGGCAGGTTGAACCAGCTGGCATGCTCTATAAATTACTGAGATATATAGAGTCAGTCCAAATTATTAAGGAAATCAATTCTGTAATAAATAAATTAATAAGAAAATCAGCATGTTTGTGAGATCTGGTAGGTGACTAAAAGTAAGATCTGCCAAAATCTTAGCTGAAGAAACATTTGATCTTGCTTTGTACGAACCATGATTTTCAAAGATCTAATAAAGTGGCCACGTTCCAAACACAAAGATACTCTTACATGACATATGATGGTGTATATCGTTATTGCATCGAGAATTACTCTCTGAAGGCGTTTTAAATTAAAGTTGTTTATATGATATGATTTTTAATTGAACTGAAAACGTTTTTTTTAAAAAAAACAAGTAACTAAAACGGTATTAATTTGTAGATGCAGTGCTAAACGCATGATATCAGATAATGTCGAGCAATTAGGTATACGAAGCTGATATTTCACTTAACAGAAGTTTTAGTCCCTAGCTTGGATACCTGTAGTCCTCTTCTGCTCCAATCACTGTAGGCCTGCAAGAGACAAAGATGCACAAGGGATATACAAAACGGTGACAAGAAAGCCGATATGTATTTGTTTTGTTGACGCATGCTTTTGGGGCAGACACGTTAATCCTTGCATTTTGTCAAGTATTTGCTCTTATCGTCTTCTTTTTCCGTAATTTTTTGCCTTTTTGTTTTTCTGGTTTACAGCCACTCATCATATGAACAGCTCCTCTTCAATTCTTTGAAGCAACGTCAAATAAATCGGTCTCCAATGAATGCACGGAGGAAGAGAGTACTGATGTCTTGGACTATATATATGAATTATTAAAGCTAGAGCCTAGGGCTTTTAATAACACGCTTAAACAGGATATATAGTCCTTGGAAAGTCATATAATTCCTATCCCAAAATAAATGAAGGGAGTGGATCGACTATTGATGAAGCAGAGACAGCATTTTTTTTATTTGATCAATAGACAGTTTAGCTTCTGAGGTTATACACATGATCAGGGGGTGGTGGGAGGGCAAAATACATATTCTGGGAATATGTATATATATAAGGGTACGTTCAAACAGGCTTTGAGTATAGAGGACTAAAAGGAAAATTTCCAAAGCCGAGGTGCCATGGCCTCCGAGCACTAAGTTAGCCCCCCGCCAGAATGAGATTCTCCAAATAAAAAATAAAATAAAATAGTCAGCAATGCTGGCTAAATTTAAATTCACTATCCCTGCTAGAATTAGTTTTAATCTTCTTTAATTTTACTTTTTAAGATACAATTATGCAATGGTTCCCGTGTATTATGTAATGCTATGGACAGATACCTAATTGCAACTTGCAGCAATGCAATAATAAAACATGAATAGGTTATATATGTCAGGCAATGTACGAACTTGAGTTTCGAACAAAGAAAATGAATAATAACGGTGACATGGTGAATTAACATCCAGCACATAATTTCTTGCGGCTAATTAGTTTTGTTTTTTTCGCAATAAAACCACTCTTCATTTTTTCCTCTTGCATTGAAATGGCAAGGCCAGTTCAAGCCTAACCTTTTCTTGTCGACCTGATCATCACTTTCCTCATAGGGCAATTGAAGAAGACAAGTAGCTTAAGATGTATACCTGAGTGGACAGTACAAGATCAAGTGGGATATGGGTGAGCCAAAAAGTTGAGTTACGATGGCCTTGGCTTTTCCACTTTGTTAGGATTTTGTCATCTATCTCTAGCCTAATCAATTGATATTATACCGGATGGGCACAATACATGTGCAATCCTCTTGCATGTTGGAACCTGAATGATAATATAATTAAAGTCACTGCATGTTAAAATCCTAGCACATATATAGATCGATTTCTGTTTGTGGTCAACTTGAAGCCAGCAACGTGGCCCAGTATAATTGACACTGCAGAAACAAAAGGATATGGATAAGAAATTCAAAGGGAGCGAAACAGCGAAGATAGGGCTAGCTAGCTAGAAACAATCTACACACACATGCATGTTTTTTAGATAAAACCATG